TGTTGCTAGAATATGGAGTATGAGAGAAACCTTGTCGACGTGCTTCCTGTCTGGCTTCACGTAAAGTGAGACCATTTTTGTATCTGAGAGTTGCTACCTCAGATTCAAATTTGTAAGTGGGACAGCCTCTATAAAATACATTATGGGGCCGCCGCAGTTAGCACATGTTCGTGTTTGTGCTGAGCAGTTTGATCGATTATGACCAGGTTGGGCACATATGGGGCATCGGTCTGTGGAACGGCAATGTTTGGCAGGATGTCCAAAGCGCCAACAGTTTTGACATTGACGTGGAGGGGGTTGGTATGGTCGAACAGGGAGGGATTGTCCACCAATGTAGATACGTAAGGGAAGGTCATGTGTAGAAGGTAATTTTGGCAATATTGGTTGGATTCTTTCGTTGACCTTTAGGAGGAATGGTGTAGCAATGTACTGATTTCACATCTTGGTCTTTGAGGCATCCTAATAAGTCTTCTCCACAGTCTGACCAATCTTTGGTATCGACTGGGCAGTTTGCTGGGGAGAGAGAGACGGTTCCGGTACAGGTATTAAGGGTTGCATGAGGTTCTGCAGGAATGGGGTTGCCAGAATGATCAGTTAAATTTGACAGTGCTATAGATTCAGTTTCTGATCTGACTGTTACCAGACGGGAGCGATCGCGTCTGGTATAGAAAGGGACTCTACCTACTTGTTTTTGGAGGCATTGTTGAAAGAGAAGAGTGTTGCCTGAGTAAGGAGCTGTAGCAGGGATCACGAAAAATCGGTCCCATTTAGCTGGGCTAAACAGAGTATTTAAGATATCTGTAGGGTGGTGGTGGTGGATAGTCGGGGACGTGTGGAAGAGGGAGTATTACGGAATGATGGAGAATAAGGTTGCAAGGTAGTAATAAGGGAGGATTGGTTGTTTGATGAAGGTTGCAGGGGTGGAGTTGAATTTGAGGAAGTTGGGTGGGTAGGAATGTCTTCTGGAGATTGATTCTCTGCTTGGGTGGGTAATGCACTAGTAGGCATTGAGGAGTGGGCAGTAGTTTCAGTGTTCGGAGCCGTGGTCAAAGGAGAGCCTGGGTTGGGGCTATTTGATAAAGGGGCTAGCCTCATAGCCTCTAATAAAGGGATTACATTCTCATTACTGGTCATGGGGAACCTGGATTATGTAAATAGGCCTATTCGGTCCACCTCCTTTCGCTACTGAAGGTAAGGGCTAGATTAGTCAGGAGTACCGTGCCCATAGTTCCCGCTGGCCGTTCAGGACTGGCACTAGGTCAGCCTTTCATCCTCTCAGCACGGCTCTCACACCTTAGGAAGTAGATAGCAGAAGGGGATGGAGAAGAGACGGAAACAAAAGCTGGAGAAAAAAAAAGAAAGAAAAAAGACCATGCAAAATTAGTTGAGTCGAGGGCTGAGGCCCTAGGCAGGGGAGATCCCTGTATTGGGTCTCAGTCTTCGTCTCCTAAGCCCCCCACGAACAACGGGCAAGGGATTGGGGGGGGTATAGGGGAGGGTGTAGGAACATCTTGAGGTGGAGGGGGAGGGGCAGAGCGAGTGACATTACTGGAGTAGGGAGTATAAGAGAAACCTTGTCGGCGTGCTTCCTGTCTGGCTTCATGTAGAGTGAGACCGTTTTTGTATCTGAGAGCTGCTACCTCAGACTTGAACTTGTAAGTGGGATAACCTCTATAAAATACATTATGGGGGCCGCCGCAGTTAGCACATGTGCGTGTTTTTGCAGGGCAGTTTGATCTGTTATGACTGGGTTGGGCACAAAGGGGGCATTGGTCTGGGGAGCGGCAGTGTTTGGCAGGATGTCCAAATTGCAAACAGTTTTGACAATGATGGGGAGAAGGTTGGTATGGTTGAACATGGAGGGATTGTCCACCAATGTAGATACGAATGGGAAGGTTATGTGTACTGAAAGTAATTTTGGCAATATTGGTGGGTTTCTTACAATGACCTCTAGGAGGAATGGAGTAGCAATGTACTGATATTACATCCTGGTCTTTGAGGCAGCTGAGCAAGTCTTCTCCAAAATCTGACCAATCTTTGGTATCAACTGGGCAGTTTGCTGGGGAGATAGAGACAGTTCCAGTACAAGTATTAAGAGTTGGATGAGGTTCTGCAGGGATGGGGTTGCCAGAGATATCAGTTAGTTTTGATAATGCTATAGCTTCAGCTTCAGATCTGACTGTTACGAGATCGGAGCAATCACGTTGGGTACGGAAAGGAACTCTGCCTACATGTTTTTGGAGACACTGTTGAAAGAGAAGAGTGTTGCCTGAATAAGGAGCTGTGGGGGGGATCACGAAAAATCGGTCCCATTTAGATGGGCTAAATAGAGTAGTTAAGATTATTATAGGGTTGGTGGTGGTAGAAGGACGGGGGAGTGTGAAAGTGGGAGTGTTGTTGAGGGGGGTAGTATTACAGAGAGATGAAGAATAAGACTGTAAGGTAGTAATAAGGGAGGTTGGGGTGTTTGATGAAGAAGATTGTAGGGAAGTTGGGAGGGTAGGAATGTCTTCTGGAGATTGAGTCTCTGCTTGGGTGGCTAATGCACTAGTAGGCACTGAGGAGTGGGTAGTAGTTTCAGTGTTTGGAGTCGTGGTCAAAGGAGAGCCTGGGGTCGGGTTATGTAAAGGGAAATAAACTGTCCACCCCCCAGTGCCCTGTACGGGGGTAAGGGATAGACAACTAAATCGGGTGTACCATGCCCATGGTTCCCGCAGGCCGTTCAGGACTGGCACAAGGTCAGCCTTTCATCCTTTCAGCACAGCTTCTACACCTTAGGAAGTAGATAGTAGAAGGGATTGGAGAAGGGATGGAAACAAAAAGCTGGAGGGGGAAAAGACCATACAAAATTAGTCGAGAAGGAAGGGTGAAGAGGATTTGGGTCTCAGTCTCCGTCTCACGAAACAACTGGCAAGGGATTGGGGGGGTCAGGAAGAGGAAGAGGAAGAGGAAGAGGAAGAGAAGAGAAGAGAAGAGGAAGAGGAGAAAGGAAGAAGAAGAGAGGAGGAGAGAAAGAAAGAGAAAGAGGAAGAGAAAGAGAAAGAGGAGAGAAAGAGAAGAAGAGAAGAGAAGAGGAAGAAGTAAAACATGTTAGTTTTGAGGTTGAGGAATTTATATTTTCATATAACCTTTGCCTGTATTGGTCAGAATGACAAAGAAATCGTTAACGGTAGGGAAAAATGATTAACTACACTTGATGTCAGAGATTAAGAAAATGTAATGGCACAGACTATCCACAGTTATCAATGGGGGTCTTGGGGGGAAGTCTGGTGCGACAGGTAAGTGAGGAGGAGTAGTAGTAGAGATTTGAGAATCTTGATTTGGAATGGCAACGGGTCTGTGTGGTCAATTCATAACCAATTGCCTATACTTTTACTTTCATAATTTGCAATGGAAAACAAAATATTGATGCATATTACATTTTGAAGAACTGAAACAAGAAATAATAATTGCATGATTGGATGGCTGTGTGAAACTGAAAAAAATTACTATATTTTCATCAATGATATATATATAGTGCTATATGAGGTTGATGTCTAGCACAATCATTTGTCATAACCATTCATCAGTGATAAAGAAAAAAAGATAAAAGGGAGAAAGACCAAGAATAGAGATGTTTATACATGAAATTGTTAATATTTAAACAAATAAACCTACCATACGGAGTTGAAAAAGGTAAAAGTGAGTTAATGATAAGGTCACTGTGTTAAATGTTATAGGTCAATGAGCATATAGGTAATGAAAGAGTTTAAGAGGGGTAGCTACTGGAATAAGGTAGGGATTAGTAAAAGGGGGAGTGGTTAAGGGTGATTAGATCAAATGGAGGGTATCTATGCATTTGAGGAAGGAGGAAGATTGCATGAGGAACAAGGTAAAATATTTGTTATGCAGCAATCAATGTTAATAAGGGTAGAAATGGGTACTGGAGAAGTAGGTGAAGAAGAACCTGGGAAGTAAAGCAAGGGATCAGGGGAAAAAGGTGAAGTGTCAGGAAGATTATCAGGAGGGAGCAGAGAGATTAATAGGGAAAGAAGGTGGGATGGTGCAGATGGAGAAGGGGAGGATAGGGTGTACTGAGAAGCTGTGGGATGAAGAGGGGCAGAGGGATCATGAGGAGGAGGTGGATGGATGTCAGTAGGAGAGAATTTGGTAGAAGAGGGGGTGGAATGTTTAGATTGCCTGGTACGACAGGTAAAGTGAGGAGTAAGAGGCACTAGGGAAGTAGTAGAGATTTGAGAATCTTGATTTGGAATGGCAACAGGATTTGACTGTGAGAGAGAGAGGGCAGGATGGTAAAGGATAGAGGAAAAAGATACTGGGGGAGATGCAGATACTTCTTGGGAAGAAGGGTGAAGAGAGAAGTGAACGACAGCATCAGAATGGGTAAAGAGAGAAAAACCTTGCTGGCCTACTTCCCATCTGGCCTCTTATAGAGTGAGGCCTAGTTTAAATCAGAGAAATACTACTTCAGACTCAAACTGTTAGGTAGGGCAGCTCCTATAAAATACATCATGGGAACCACCTTAGGAAGTGGACAGAAGGGATTGGAGAAGAGAAAGTAAAGAAAAAGGGAAAGAAAACACGATACAAAATTGGCTGAGCTGATGGCTGAGGCTCAAAGTAGGGGCAATCCCAAACATAGAGCTTTAGTCCCCATCTCACATGCCCCTCCAACCCCCTATGATCACAACAGGCATGGGATTGTTGGGGTATATACATGTAACAATGGTAAAGGTAGCAAAAAAAGTTCTCATTTCATCAAAATTCTAAATACTTTTACTATAAACTTTAATAGGAAACTGTCGAGACTTTTTTCCATTTGTATTTACTTTTTTCTTAGGCACAATCATTTCAGTCTTTCTTCTTTTCATTGCTCAGTTCTGTAAAGCAAATCTCCCTCCAAACAGGGCTTAAATCTCAGGATGAAAGGCCACTTCACTTGAAAGCCTAATATACAAACTATGTGAATTCCTGCATGAATTTGGCAATAAGAAGAGGAATTACAGAAGAATTTATTATCACTGAAAATGTACATTCTAAATTTTTTGATGGTGCTAGAGCTTACAATGCAGCTCGCAGTTCACAGGAGAGGGAGAGAATTAACATAAAAGCTCTGTGATGTTTTCAGCTCACCACATGAATTAAATGAAACAATAGATATGACAACATTTCTTGCACCGAGTTATGCACACAATTTTTATATACAACTGGCGATACCTTGATGTAATATTCTAAATCAGTGGTGATCGCCATGGCCATGACCATGTCCACCACCAAGGGAACGTTCAATGGCAACAGTTGCAACAGCTGCAATCAGGCCCAATTTGAAGCCTCTGAAGAATGCCAGCCTTAAGCGGGGTCCATGGGATCCAAACTGTGTGGTGTCGTAACGCCAGACTTCATTTCTGTGTGGAAGGATACAATGATGAAAAAAATGGTTTACTTAACCCAATCAGCCTGGATGGCAAGAATACAGTCCATACCGACTGCAATATTAGATTATTATCTTTATACATAGTTGTCTAAAAATGTTTAGTCACCAAAGAATCAATTATTAGTCCTATCTATCTCACCTCTTTACCTTTTTCCTTGAGTTTTGAAAAGCCCTTTTTTTTTTTTTTTAAGAAGAAGAGGTAGTAGTAGTTTGATAACATCATCATAATCATACCTATCAATAATAATAATAAAAGTATCAATATTAATAGTAGTAAATAGAAAAAAATTATTTTTCTGGCATATTCAAGGAATGGGGAAATCAGACCCGGTCACAAATTCTATTAATTGACAAGTTATTTATGCTTAAATGTTGCTATTTCTCAAAAGAAAATATAAGTAAAGTTGATAATTACAAATGAAAGTTACAATATCTCTTATATGTTCGGATGCATTTTACCAATTTACCAATTTCATGCAAATAGAAGACTGTTAGATTGCTGTACAACAAATCTATTTGGACTTGAATTAGTGTATCTATTAGTAAAGAAAGATGTATGTAAAATATAATTTCATAACTTTACATTGAGTAAGAAAAATGCTTTTTTTTTATAATAAATTCATTAACTATACAGCATTTAAGACCAAAAGCGATATGGACTACTTAGATAAAATAGCTGATAAGTGATTTATGATTCTGTTACAAGTCTGAAAAACTCTTGAGCCAGCTCACTTTTGACACAAACTTATAGTAAAACATAGGAGTTTATAATGAAGACAAATGTACATTTTCTACGCTTATGACCACAGCATAAGAGATAGCATCTACAATATGTAGGGGCCCTGGTAATAAATGCTGTCATTTTGTTATTCCTTTCCTAGCTTAGAACTGCTGGCAGAAAGAAAGACAAATAATTCACTAATTCTATTTCTTGGGTTAAGGTATACAAAAGGACCACAATAAGATCATAGCATTGTATGTAATGAAAAACTGCATTCATGCAGTGTGGTGACTAAATCCCCATGCACCTCCAGCAACTAAGTCCGGCCTTCCTCACCTTGCAGTGAACAATTTAGCTGCGCAGTAATCCAACATAAAATAGGGAATATTTGGCAAATGGGTGGGGATCCGGGTTCGATAAGGTTCGTAAAATGCAGTGCTGAATCTTACGTGGCCAAATCTTGACTCAGGATTTTCTATTTTCCACTTTCTTTATCATATGAAATGTGATTATTGGCTCAGGATTTTCATATTCAACTTCTGTTATTAAAAATGCCTGTTAGGAGGGCAATCAATATATATCACATATTTCTCTACAAAATATTATTTTTCAGTGGTAAATAGATGCATTAGTCTTAGAAAGAATTACAATGCACTGTACTATTATTGTATTTCTGTATTCCAATTTATATGAAATGATGTCAAAATACATAACAATTAAATGTTCCTTTCTTATACATATGAGGTGACTAATCATATTACATACACAATATTTTTATTATGCATGTGCAACCCTTTTATGGGAAGTTTGACAGTTCTTTTGTTACAGTCCTCATTGATCTTTCCAAAGGTGAATTATGTTTACAGTGCTACCTGTGTTTCCAAATTCTTTCCCAACTATGCGCTGAAAACAATCTCTTACCGAAATCATTATAATACAAGGGCTAACATTTAACTCAGTGAAATAATATTACTGTGTTCCAGCTGTAGAATGTTGTTAGCGGTTCATCACTTCCCAGCCACCGTCACCTCAACAACGAGGGAAACCGATAGGGAAACATGGCAACTAGGAGGGGGTCCCAGGGCAGAACCCTTGATAAGGAAATACAGTGGCCAGGAGGGGGTCCAGGAGTATAAATCCTGAGTGACAAAGGTTTTTGGTTCATACAGCAGTCTTTCTGGCAGTTTTGTGTGTTTATGATGGGGTTCACCCCTTCATTCATTCGCACAACCCTTTGTCAAATCTTCAGTGACCAAATCTTATCTTGGGTTTTTCTATTTTCCACTTTCTTTATAATATGAAATACAACTCTTTTGCTCTTTAAAATGTCTGCTGTGAGCAAAATTATCCCCCCCCCTGCCCCCAATTCCCCACAGGATCCCTCCCCTGGAATCAGGGACTTAGTTTCTAATGGAAGCAGTCCTGCTGTAAACCTTTACCAATTCTTGTAATGCATTTTATTTCCCAATTTTCCCAATCACTTACCGAAGCCATGGATCCTTCAAGCCATGAGAGGCCAAGGCCCTCTGTACTTGCACTAATTCTGGTGCATTTTCCACTTTGTACTTCCGCCAGTCAGGAATAGTGTAGTTGGCCGCACCTCCTCCCATCTGCAGTCGAGAGAAAGGTATTCAGTTCTTCAAACTCTCAAAACTTCTTGTATCGAACACACAAAACATAGTACTAAACTACCATAACATCATAAATATTATGTATCAGATGCATCTTTTTTGAGGGGCTTCAGATTAGATTGAGGCTACAGGAGAGCTGCTATTTTCATGATAAATCACCAAGGATGTTTACAAGGTCTATAATATGTGCTGGCAAAAGTGTAAAAAAAAACACTTGGATAGAAAGTGCATTGACCATACTAAATATACATAATGTATGTGTATATGTATGTTATATATATATATAATATATATATATATATTATATATATATATATATATATTATATATATATATATATATATATGCACATATATATATATATATAAATAATACATATATATATGGGGGGCGGGGGGCATGCACATGTGGGTGTGGATGGGTGTGGATGGGGTGTGGTGTGTGGTGTGTGTGTGTGTGTGTGTGTGTGTGTGTGTGTGTGTGTGTGTGTGTGTGTGTGTGTGTGTGTGTGTGTGTGTGTGTGTGTGTGTGTGTGTGTGTGTGTGTGTGTGTGTGTGTGTGTGTGTGTGTGTGCGTGTGTGGTAGGTGTGTGTGTGCATGTAGGTGTGTGTGTGTCATGTGTGTGTGTGTCATGTAGGTGTGTGTGTGTGTCATGTAGGTGTGTGTGTGTGTCATGTAGGTGTGTGTGTGTGTCATGTAGGTGTGTGTGTGTGTCATGTAGGTGTGTGTGTGTGTCATGTAGGTGTGTGTGTGTGTCATGTAGGGTGTGTGTGTGTCATGTAGGTGTGTGTGTGTGCATGTAGGTGTGTGTGTGCATGTAGTGTGTGTGTGTGCATGTAGGTGTGTGTGTGTGTGTAGGTGTGTGTGTGTGCATGTAGGTGTGTGTGTGTGCATGTAGGTGTGTGTGTGTGCATGTAGGTGTGTGTGTGTGCATGTAGGTGTGTGTGTGTGTGCATGTAGGTGTGTGTGTGTGTGTGTGCATGTAGGTGTGTGTGTGTGTGCATGTAGTGTGTGTGTGTGTGTGCATGTATGTGTGTGTGTGTGTGTGTGTGTGTGTGTGCATGTAGGTGTGTGTGTGTGTGTGCATGTAGGTGTGTGTGTGTGTGTGCATGTAGGTGTGTGTGTGTGTGCATGTAGGTGTTGTGTGTGTGTGCATGTAGTGTGTGTGTGTGTGTGCATGTGTGTGTGTGTGTGTGGCATGTAGGTGTGTGTGTGTGTGTGTGTGTGTGTGTGTGTGCATGTGTGTGTGTGTGTGTGCATGTGTGTGTGTGTGTGTGTGCATGTAGGTGTGTGTGTGTGTGTGCATGTAGGTGTGTGTGTGTGTGTGCATGTAGGTGTGTGTGTGTGTGTGCATGTAGGTGTGTGTGTGTGTGCATGTAGGTGTGTGTGTGTGTGTGCATGTAGTGTGTGTGTGTGTGTGTGCATGTGTGTGTGTGTGTGTGCATGTAGGTGTGTGTGTGTGTGTGCATGTGTGTGTGTGTGTGTGTGCATGTAGGTGTGTGTGTGTGTGCATGTAGGTGTGTGTGTGTGTGCATGTGTGTGTGTGTGTGTGTAGGTGTGTGTGTGTGTGTGCATGTATGTGTGTGTGTGTGTGTGTGTGCATGTGTGTGTGTGTGTGTGTGCATGTATGTGTGTGTGTGTGTGTGTGCATGTAGGTGGTGTGTGTGTGTGTGCATGTAGGTGTGTGTGTGTGTGTGCATGTATGTAGGTGTGTGTGTGTGCATGTGTGTGTGTAGGTGTGTGTGTGTGCATGTGTGTGTGTGTGTGGCATGTAGGTGTGTGTGTGTGCATGTAGGTGTGTGTGTGTGTGTAGGTGTGTGTGTGTGCATGTAGGTGTGTGTGTGTGCATGTAGGTGTGTGTGTGTGCATGTAGCGTGTGTGTGGTGCATGTAGGTGTGTGTGTGTGCATGTAGGTGTGGTGTGTGTGCATGTAGGTGTGTGTGTGTGCATGTAGGTGTGTGTGTGTGCATGTAGGTGTGTGTGTGTGCATGTAGGTGTGTGTGTGTGCATGTAGGTGTGTGTGTGTGCATGTAGGTGTGTGTGTGTGCATGTAGGTGTGTGTGTGTGCATGTAGGTGTGTGTGTGTGCATGTAGTGTGTGTGTGTGCATGTAGGTGTGTGTGTGTGCATGTAGGTATGTGTGTGTGCATGTAGGTGTGTGTGGAAGGGCTGTGGGTGTAGGTGTGTGTGGATGGGCTGTGGGTGTGGGTGTGGTTGTGCTTGTGTGTGTCCGTGTAATGTATAAATGTTATTTGATGTTTTAAGTGTAACAGTTTTCTAAACATGGATATATGCTTAATAAAAAGTCATCCTTAACCCACTAACGACGGGTGTCCCGTATACGAGAAACCCCCAAAAATAAACATTGCTGGGTATCACTACAGTGTGACGCTGTATTGGGGCTTGCGCTCCGACGCAGCAGCAGGCTTCGGCCGGTGGGCGGGCAGAGTCTGGAGCAGCCCTGCCCGCCAATTTTGTAGCCGCCAGGAATCTTATATTTAATGGGTTAATGCTATCTTGGAGGACTTCTCTGAAATTTCAGGCCTAATGTTCCCTGCAAATCTTGATATCTAATGGATCACTCCATGTGATGAGTGTTCAATCCAGACCTATTACAAATTGCCAGCATAAACAACCCATCAAACAATTGGGTAATTTTCCATTCATAAATTTCATAGGGAAGCCACACAGAGACAATACATCAGGTGATAAAACATTACAATTTACATTTACAGATAATATAACATGTGATTTACATTTTACTTTCTAAAAATAATGTGTTGTACATTGGTAAATTTAACAAAAACTCTATCGCCAAGCTGTGCCACTGTTGCCCCCCCACCATTCTTCAATACAATTTTCTCCATTGATAATAACGGTATTTTATAGGGTATAAAATCCACGTTTTCCAGGAGCTGCAGTAACCTTACACCTCCAGCGCCATGACAAAATGACACAGAAGTCATTAAGAGCAATGGAAAATTGGACAGATTTATAGTAAATGACATATGCATGAGAAATCAAATGAGCCAATTAGATTTGTGGGTGAACATGACGTCAACATAGATACCCAATTGGACCAATCAGAAAAAGAATAGATCATTATGTGATAATAGAAGCTGGGCCTAGAAGCAGCAATATGAAATTAAAAACAAAGAGAAGAAAGCAGTGTAACTTTACTATATGAGACAACAGAAGGATATATTGGTCAATAAGCATAACAAGGTGGGGGCTTACTTTCGAAACACTTTTAATATCTATCTGCAGGATGTCCACTGATTTCAACGAATCTTGATGTTATTTCTTGTGCAAATGCTTCACTGATGAGAGCTGAGTACCACTTCCATCGACAATCTTAATTTGTTAGTCCCGATAACAGGGGAGGGCATGAAGTATATCAGGGAAATTATGGGGTAAAACAGGCTTAAAAAAGAATAGTGAACAAAAACGCATAAAACTAGCACAAAAAACGCTAAAAATCGGCTAATGAAACTCTACAGACATGTCCACTATTTTTTAAAGTCTCCGCACTGATGCGCCAAAATTAAAAAAACTCTAAGGGAATCCAACCCCTTTCAGCAAAATCTACGGGATTTCACACCTTCCAAACACAAAAAAACCATCTTAACCCATAACCCAACCTAACCTAGCAATTTACAGCGCCATGACTAGGGCTGTCATCTCCTTTGTAATTTAACCCGGGACGTCTTGGGTAAAAGGCTGAACGTGATGAGTTCGCGTCCAGGTTTTGGTGCCTGACGTCATCGTTCCTAGAGGCGGAGCCCATCTCCTGGTCAAGAACAAGCCCAGCCCCCTTGCTTCAGCGCATGCGTGACAGTGTTTCTTCCCCAGGGCCCTTCACTGAGTGTTAGATCAGGTGCCAGTTAGAATAAATTATTTTTGATTAAAGCAAGAAACAAATCGCTAAACAGGCAACTGTCATCGGTGCTTATTGTACTCTTACAACTTTCATATCTCTTTGCAATAGTACTTCAAGAGGAAAAAAAAAAAAAAAAAAAAAAAAAAAAAAAAAAAAAAAAAAAAAAAAAAAAAAAATGCAAACACCATGGAAATTTACATTATTTCCAGTCATAAACACTTTGTCCCAAAAAGAATCCGTCGGCTTCAGCTTCGTGTATATAAAGCTTATTACTTTCATAAAAACAAAACGTTTTATATGTTGTATATACCTTATAAAAAGGAGTTATATTTTTAGATTATCCGTGAATATTATTTTGACTGCAGGTCTTCAAAAATCGAGTATTTATCATATGATTGCATTCAGACACTGCTCGAAATCGCTAATACCGCGCAAACAGCAAGGTGCGATGAAGGCATATTTCCTATCATCAAGAGTGAAAATACCTTGCATTTAATCACTTGATATATTTGAGTAATTGTATGGCTGTTGCTACGTGTTCATTGTAACTGACATTAAATAAATGCAGGCAGGGGTAAGTGAAAATATGTAGATAATAAATATAAAGAATATTACTGACTGAATAGAGAGAGAGAGGTAGAGAGAGAGAGAGAGAGAGAGAGAGAGAGAGAGAGAGAGAGAGAGAGAGAGAGAGAGAGAGAGAGAGAGAGAGAGAGAGAGAGAGAGAGAGAGAGAGAGAGAGAGAGAGAGAGAGAGAGACTGATGGAGGGAGAGAGAGAGAAAGACAAAGTCAAAAGACTTATTCCATTATTTGCAATGGTTCTTCTTTGTTCATATGTACAATAATACAAACTAAATGAAGATAATATCAAGTTTATTCGTAGGGGAATTATAAAATAAGATAAAATAAATTGGCCACAGCATTAGTACATAGTATGGCTTTTCATTTAATTATTAGATGCCATTGACAATTCAAAAGAAACTTCAATTTCCTTTTAAAAGTACTTAGATTAGAGATGTTTCTAATATTTTGTGGTAGGTTAATCCAGGTACTGGATCCTCGTACCTGTTTCCGTGTATAACCTCTTTATGAGCAGAGAGTTAATATGTCTGGTTTGAATGCCTGTTTTGTTACCAATTACTTGTAGGTGCATAAACCAATGAGGATAATATTCACTCTATATGAATTTATGAATGGATATGCCTATGCCCTATTGACATTTTGATTGAATGTTCAACCAGTTTCGTGTAGGGGTTATATAGTCATATTTATTTCCGAGAGAGAGATAGAGAGAGAGAGAGAGAGAGAGGAGAGAGAGAGGAGAGAGAGAGAGAGAGAGAGAGAGAGAGAGAGAGAGAGAGAGAGAGAGAGGAGAGAGAGAGAGAGAGAGGGGGAGAGAGAGGGAGAGAGGGAGAGAGGGAGAGAGAGAGAGAGAGAGAGAAGACAGACAGACAGACAGAAAGACAGACTGACAGACAGAGACTGAGAGACAGGAGAGGGGAGAGGAGAGGGAGAAGGAGAGGGAGAGGGAGAGGGAGAGGGAGGGAGAGAGAGAGGAGAGGGAGAGAGAGAGAGAGAGAGAGAGAAGAGAGAGAGAGAGAGAGAGAGAGAGTGGAGGGAGACAGAGAGAGAGAGTGAGAGGAGAGTGCAGGAGAGAGAGAGAGTGGAGGGGAGCAGAGAGAGAGAGTGGAGGGGAGCAGAGAGAGAGAGGAGAGGGGAGGGGGAGAGCAGGGAGCAGAGAGAGTGAGGAGGGGAGAGAGAGAGAGGAGAGGGAGGGGAGCAGAGAGAGAGTGGAGGGAGCAGAGAGAGAGAGTGGAGGAGAAGAGAGAGAGAGGAGAGAGCAGAGAGAGAGAGTGGAGGGGAGCAGAGAGAGAGAGAGGAGAGAGAGAGTGGAGGGGAGCAGAGAGAGAGAGAGAGAGAGAGTGGGAGAGAGAGAGAGAGAGAGGGGAGCAGAGAGAGAGAGGAGCAGAGAGAGAGAGGAGCGAGAGAGAGAGAGAGGAGAGCAGAGAGAGAGAGAGAGAGCAGGAGAGAGAGAGAGAGGAGAGCAGAGAGAGAGAGAGGAGGTGAGCAGAGAGAGAGAGAGGAGGTGAGCAGAGAGGAGGGAGAGAGAGAGAGAGAGAGAGAGAGAGAGAGAGAGAGAGAGAGAGAGAGAGAGAGAGAGAGGAGAGAGAAGAGGAGAGAGAGAGAGGAGAGAGGAGGTGGAGGGAGGGAGGGAGGGAGAGGGAGAGAGGAGAGAGAGTGAGAGAGTGAGAGAGAGAGAGAGAGAGAGAGAGAGAGAGAGAGAGAGAGAGAGAGAGAGAGAGAGAGAGAGAGAGAGAGAGAGAGAGAGAGAGAGAGAGAGAGAGAGAGAGAGTGAGAGAGATAGAGGAGGTGAGCAGAGAGAGATAGAGAGTGAGAGAGAGAGAGAGGGGAGAGAGAGAGAGAGAGAGAGAGAGGGAGGGGAGCAGAGAGAGAGAGAGAAGAGAGAGAGAGAGAGAGAGAGAGAGAGAGAGAGAGAGAGAGAGAGAAGAGAGAGAGAGAGAGAGAAGAGGGAGGAGCGAGAAAGAGGAGGAGAGAGAGAGAGAGAGAGAGAGAGAGAGTTTCTAGACAGAAGTGTAGGACAGTTTCGCCGCACATTTTGCACCCTGCAGCGGCAATCTGTGACGTCACTCCCAAACATGGGACGTCCGGGGTTTGGAAAAAAAAGATGACAGCCTTGGTGTGCCTTTCGGGAACCGCCTGAAGACGTAACAGTCAATTTTCCTTCGCTTCTTTCGCTTTGTAGATCCCTTCATTTTTATCACTTTATTCGGGATTTGGGGTGGTAATTGTTGAAGACCGCGACGCACCCTCGCAGAGACTAAAATCGATGAAATCCTATGATTTCATAGATTTTTGGCGTTGTTTCTTTTGCGAATGAATCGTTCAGGAGATCAAGTACCATTTCTCCATCGACGATCTTGATTTGATAGTCCCGTTAGCAGGGGAGGGCATGACGTATATCAGGGAAAATATGGGGTAAAACAAGCTTAAATAAGAAGAATAACGATCAAAAATGCGTAAAACTAGCACAAAAAGCGCTTAAAATTGGCCAATGAAACTCTACGGATGTAACCGCCATCTTTGAAAGTTTACGGACTGACGCGAAATAAATAAAAAACTCTACGGGAACCCAACCCACATTTCGGTAAAACTCTACGGGAATTCACACGTTCCAACCCCCAAAAACGTATTGACCAATAAACGAACCTAATATATCAATATAAATTGCCGTGACTAGGCGTGCCCTTTGGGCACTGCCCGAGGGGAGGGTTGATGGGGGGCAAGCCCCCCAGCACCCCCCAGGACACATTCT